TGGCTAGCAGAACCCACGATCTAGTTGACCCTCTCCTGGGAGTTCGAAACATCAGCTGATTCCAAATGTTCCACTTTAATTTCCCTGCAAAATTTGGTTGTCATGGCATGGACGCCCAAAAGCGGCCTGCTTTTAAATTAACCAGATGGAACGGACGTTTGATTCCTCTATGGTGCAGAATTTTATTTGCTCTCACTTTTTACTTTCTAAAACTGTTATAGGTAGAGCTCCAAATCCAGACATGGATTGAATCTGTCACCGGAACCCTAGTGACATCAGTGTCACAGAAAACTTCCCATAGCTTGGCCAGGTATGTGGAATGATGGCGTTCGACGTACTATGGCATACAGCAACAAACGAGGATCTAACTGAAAGATGAGCGCGTTTTATTAGTGTATCACCTGAACTACTCACACTGCGCTGCATACACTCTACGTAGGAACTGAAGTATACGGTCAGCAACCACCGACCGGTTTCGTGCTCCTTAGGACTCATCAGGAAGACATAGTCCCGAGATTCTATCCACCTGATGTTCAACTGGAACCCACACCGTAAAACTTGGTACTTGACGGAAGACCTAACTGAATTCCAGCTAAATTTCTCGTTTACGACCTTACCGAGCTGCATAGTTTGCTTCCCGTTTTCACGCGAAGTAGATTCAAGCTTGGACGGATACCTGAGGTAAATGACTATGCAGTATATACTTCTCTAAGTAGGAGTGATATCCTCCTAGGAGCTGCAGTTCTCTTGATGATACTGCTATTTTAAAGGAGGTCGGTTTTTCGATGTTGTCGCTTGGCATGAGTTTACAGGCAGTGAATGGCGTCGCACAAGCGTGCACACGTTCACAGGCTCAAAACGTAATGACCCAGACGCAGTAGCGACAACTTCAACACGTCACACATCAGCTATTCAAAGTTTAAATCCCGGTATGGCTGATGAACTCTAATAAGGTCCGGACTCCGTTTTAGCGTAATCACCACACTCATACAGAGACAGGGGGAGAACTGTTCAAACAAACAACGCAAATGATACGACCGAACGATCGATATCGCGTGCACTCTGTTGACTGAATCACATACACAAGTTCTGTTCTTTGCAATTCGTCCCCAGACACACACGCATACTCATGCTCCAGGAAGGTTTCAAACGACACCAGAACCTTTGGGGATGCAATTAGAACACGTGACGGTGCACGACCAATTCTGACCGCCGTCTGGCACAGTAGTGCGTGAGTGCGTGCGAGTAAACTACACGAATAGGAACGACAGCCGTATCGCTGTCCCATGGCAACCTGTCCCATGCAACCCGTGTCCCTTACAAAGAAAACTGCAATGACCAGAATATCCGTCCCAATGAAGTTTGAGAACTTTGGTAGCGTTTCACCCGAACTCCGCATACTCATTTCAGAATCTGCCACATCTTATTTTTCTGATAATATCGTACTAAGGCTCGTAGGGCAAGAGGACGGATTCTGCGCCTGGTTCATCAATGTTACCAACAGTCAGGATTCCACTAAGACACTTGTGAAGGCCATATGCATTCTCGTCAACGAGGCCGGTTGAGCACGGCTTCCAACCCCAGTTTGTCGCTCTGTTCACGCCCCCTTGAATCGAACTTTCACACTTTTAGAATACCAAAATGCGAATATCGACTTGAGTCTGATTTGCGTTTCACCATGACCAACTCACCAAGTGCGTAAAATTTGGCGTAGAACCTAAGCTTGATGACAACTTGCCTAGCCGATGAATCCCAAGGAGAGTGAAAGAAGTCGTAAGGTGTCGAACAGTTTTCGGCCACCTTGTAAGTAGTATGTCACGTCAGGACAATCTACTCGGATGTCGTGCCAACTGAAGCATGGAGTGGTCTCAATGTAGCATATTGTCTGTACGTCGCAGTACGCCTTCTTGATAGAACACTACTCATAAGGTTGCTGAAAACTAGTTGACAACCCAAACGGATTTCCCTCATCTCGAAGCTCATCAGGTAGGCTTGATCTTCAGATTTCCGTCAACCTGATGTCCAACTTGGACGCAGAGCATTTCGCGAACTACACTCATTTGCCCACCAGTGTTGTTGTAACGGAAGACTCAAGTGAAAACCCGGCTGATATCCCAGGGAATGCACTGATTCCTCATCAATTATGGCGTGCAGATTAGCCCGTTGGTCACAAGTTCCTATCCAAGTTATCTGGTTAACTACGGTGAAAGGGAATCCCTCGAGCTTTCTTGCCCGGCGACCCACATCTCGCGTAATGAGGCCACAGGCACAGACCCTGTGTGAATGGCTAAATCAACAAAGACGGCAACCGTGTGCGCCCAAGAAATAATTTTATCACGGCATTTTCATCCTACTGACGGCGTGTGGAGCTCCTGCTCGAGGTTAACTCGAAACATGACTTTGTGATTCCCCCCTGCGCGGTGACCCGCATCACACAAACTAGGTGAACAAAGAGACCTCCGTTTGCTTTGTTGTCTGTCTACCTGGTTGCAAGTGCAGTCGTGCAAACGTGCGCGCACAGGCATCGCATGCCAGCTGTCCTCTAGAGATGACTCATCCAACATCTGCCAAACGCCTGTGTTTGGGGGTAGAGGGTAAGCCAGTCACTGCTTCGCGTAGCGATCACAGATAAACGCATGATCTTACCCGTAGTTAGAGTCTGGCAGAAAACGGCTTGGCACTTGTCTTGATGAACTGGAGAAAATTTGAAACCGGATGAGAGGTCATCATTTCACTACAAAACCCAGCACAGATATAGAAAACACCGATTGTTTACCAAGCCCTTGGCTTGATTTTTATGGTCGGCAAGAAAGCAATAGGACCAAAATGAACAGAAACGAGACGAGATTCAGGACACCTGGTGCCTGAGCAGAAATTCAAACCTGACAAGTCGATAAAGACATTTTCCAATAAGTCGATCGATATGTTCAAACCTAACCACACAATGCCGACCGGCATCGCTCTAAGTATGCTAAGTTCAACAGCACAAAATATCCCGAAAGGTTTTGTCGGTTCTCTCACCCTAAGATGATTGGTTGTGAGTTACTGGCGCATCCAAACAAAAATTTGGAAATGGTGTATAACTGATACAAAAACCACGAAAAACAAATCGAATTCAGTCATAATTGAGGGTTGGTCATCTAATGGAAGGGTGACTAACCTGATATTGTGATTACCATGCACAAACAGGTTTTTTTCAAGGAGGAGGAATGGTTAGGTAGGTGGTGTGGCGTATGCAATTCAATTCTTTAGGTAGGTCTACCGGTAACAGCTCCCAAGCTGACAGAACTCACTATCAACTTTTTGGTAGAGTGGGACTACAATGGACAAGAAGTATATACAAGAAGTATATACATGCAACCCCCGCATGAGATCGCCTACACCCGGCACGGATGCTTTACGCTTAGCAAAACTGTTTTGGGTTCCTTGTGTGATAGGTAGTCACTTAAGACTTCATATCAAGCAATCGAACCCACAATATCCGCTCGACTGGTCACAGTCCGAACAAAAGGTGCGGTGGACTGTCGTTCCAGGATCTACCCGTTCGGATTTTCTAGTATCCACGCCATCTCACCACTCACACTGAGTCCCATATGCTCGTCTCTCTCATTTTCTGTTCGTTAGGTTTCATTCTTTCTCATCCATAGTTTTTTATGCACAATAAAACACTACTGGACTTGTTGCCTCGCACTCGGAAACGCTTTGGACGGGCAGAACACCCAGAGAAACTAGCAAAATCCCTGGGACCAAAACGATGATTAGCTTGTATGGTCCAGCCGCCCTTATCCATCCAGCCATCGATGCAAGACAGGTTCCAAGAAGAGACGTCAATGCTTTGGAAAGACCAGAATGAACATGTTCACTGTTGTGGGCTTATGGTGGGGCTCCCAAGCTGACAGAACTCACTATCAACTTTTTGGTAGAGTGGGACTACAATGGACAACAACGTAGAAGTATATACATGCAACCCCCGCATGGGATCGCCTACACCCGGCACGGATGCTTTACGCTTAGCAAAACGGTTTTGGGTTCCTTGTGTGATAGGTAGTCACTTAAGACTTCATATCAAGCAATCGAACCCACAATATCCGCTCGACTGGTCACAGTCCGAACAAAAGGTGCGGTGGACTGTCGTTCCAGGATCTACCCGTTCGGATTTTCTAGTATCCACGCCATCTCACCACTCACACTGAGTCCCATATGCTCGTCTCTCTCATTTTCTGTTCGTTAGGTTTCATTCTTTCTCATCCATAGTTTTTTATGCACAATAAAACACTACTGGACTTGTTGCCTCGCACTCGGAAACGCTTTGGACGGGCAGAACACCCAGAGAAACTAGCAAAATCCCTGGGACCAAAACGATGATTAGCTTGTATGGTCCAGCCGCCCTTATCCATCCAGCCATCGATGCAAGACAGGTTCCAAGAAGAGACGTCAATGCTTTGGAAAGACCAGAATGAACATGTTCACTGTTGTGGGCTTATGGTGGGACCAGTGGTGAAAAGTTCAGTAGACATGAATTTAAACCTGTTGGAACTGAGGCGCAACTTTTGACAGTTAAGACTGGAATTTAGGTCACCCTATCGCGTAGGTGCTTATTAGGTGACCTATTCGATCCTCCAAACTCAGATTAAGCCAGAAAAAATGAAGCACTTGTAGTTTACTTTTACTCAACCAGCGTAAACGGAAAGGATGGGATTGGATCCATGATGGCTTGTTTCAACTGTGGAAATCTGTTTATATGACTGATTCCCGTGCTATATAAAACAGATTTCTGCCAATTGACCGTGTGAGGAGGTATAGTAATTTCAATCTGGCTTCGCCCTGTAAGGGAGGTCAGTATATGATGCTAAAAAGCCGCGAAGCAATGGCTTCTGCACCCAAACAACCTATACCAACACACTACGCTTGACATGGCCCCAACGTTTCCATAGTACGGTAATCTAACCATAGCAATGTGAGGTGGAAAGTCTAAATATAATCCTGTTAATGAATTTTAGGCTGATCGTTTTGCAAAGGCCGATAGCCCCGACGTGGATTTTATGCATTACGACCCTGTGATGATGTTGGCCATCGTCAACATGCCCACGGTTGTATGGATGTTGTGACGGGGCCATCAATAATCATACGCACCGCTTGTCCCCATTCAAAGCCGACCACGATGGATGCTGTTACGCAGCTGCATGGGAAAGGGACGGCGGTGCGGTCAGCAGACGAGGACATGGCGCAATGTAGCGCGCCTTGCAAGCATCTGGCCTAGGTAACCAATCGAATCCGAGTGTATTCCTTTCACTCAAGGTCAAGTAAAGCCCGGCGGTGATTGGTCTAGTTCAACTGCCTTTCGCAGCTGTCTTTTCACATATGCGTTGCCTACACACATTTGCTGATACAGTTGGGGGAACTACTGCGTTTGGTTCTATGTATTTTGATGAGGTTAGCGACTACCGGTTTCGAAAATAGCTGATGACCAAATCAAGAAAACGGAAACAGGGTAAAGGCGTGATTAGGTGGCTTCTCCGTGTGAAAAAGTGGGCGAAGTAGGGACGACACGCTGATGTTCAGAAGCAACTTTTTCGCTCCCCAACCACCCATATACTGGCAGCCGACTCACCCTTCTGGCAAATAAAACCAACACGTTTGTAACATTCGTAGGGTTCCAACCAGCCGTTGCGTGCGACCGGGCATCCGTCTAATAGAGGAACTTCGCTGTAGATCCAAGCGCGGCTGACCCAGACGTAACGATTGATCCACTCGTAGTTATTTTGCCACTGAGACATGACGTCACTCAGCCAGGAGATTCTATCACGTGAGTCTGTACGTAATAGGAAACAAAATAATTAAGGTACATACGGTTCAGTACAATTCTGAAGATGGTTTGTTTTCTAGGAACTGATTACGACTAACTGCCTGGCCTCTGAAGCTGACCGTATTCTCCCCTTGGGAGTTCACTACAAAAGACTACCCCAGATTTATTGTGACTTGGTTAAAATAAAACCACAGTATACACACACACAGTAGACACTAAAGACGATTCTTAGAAATCACCTTTTTGTTGGAATTAGATCGAAACGTCAGAAACGCCTTAGTCTCAGACACTAGGGACACACAGGCAACAGAGCTGGCTGGGCAATGACTCGAAAAGTGGGTACTATCCACACCAACCGTAACTGTGTCAATGAAACGTTCACCTTTGCAATCAACCGAATGTGCTGCACCAGACCGCCTCATGTTTCTGTTGGTACAACATTCGACGAACATGTATCGACGCAATGCACTACTCATAAGACTGGTTCCCTCAAACAGCATTGGCGTGTACCAGAGTTTGACGATAACTAATCCCTTTCTCAAGCATACTCAGGCTTCTGGCAGAATGCATCTTGTCACACAAGATGTGTCGTTACGTTGTTCCATCTACTGGGACTATTGATGCGCGTTTTTAATGGAGACGAAATTGTAGCCCACTCGGTTATCATCTTATGGCAAACAAACAAGCTGAGGCTTGTTTAATCTTCTGCTTTGTTGTTTTCCACACTATCCTCCCTTCTAGACCATTAATCATAAATCAAACTCTTCCACAATGCGACGTGCTGTGGTTCTTTTCGCTCCCATAGAGTACTGAATAGCTGCCTTCGTTCTACAGTCTTTATTTCCGGTTTTTGGGGGTTGAGACCGTTGTGATTTCGTATACTGGATTTCTTCGAGATCCCTAGACCGGACTGATGCCCAGAAAGACATACCAGCAGGTAATGAGTTCGACGGCGCACTCAAATCCCTCAAACTTCAAATAATGAAGAGCCCAGTGGAAGACCGAGAGTGACTGCATTCTAATCGAGCAGTGTGGTATACATCATGTGCAATCCCATACTACCTAGCATCCAATTAGTGTCAAAACTCGAAAGCTGCGGGGACGGCGAACTCACCAATCAGACTACGGATAGAGAACTNCATTAATTCACTTGCAAAAACGTCGACTGGAGAGATGGGCCGAACTATTCGAAGAATAGTTCAGCTGGCCTCCTGAAACATAGCCTCTGAGGATAGTGCACACGAGTGAATGGGACGTAAACCTCAATCACGCGTCGGAAGAAGAAATAAAGTACGACATATCCGTGCTGAGACATGAGAATGCACGAGGACCGGACAGCCTGTATCCAGCCCTGTTCAAAAAGGCAGAGAATTCCTAATGACCCATCTGACAAAGCTTATTGGTACTATGTGGGACGCAGCGAAAGTGCCTGCAGAATGGAGCATGTCGAGAGTTATTCCTATCTTCAAAAAGGGCACGAGGACGCTGTATGGAAGACAAAGTGACATCAGCTTGTTGTCTGTGTCACCTAAGGCGCACTCTGGCCTTATCCTTCGAAGGTTGACTGAACTCAGGGAGAGGCGGATCCGTGAAAACCAAGCTGGGTTCCGTCCTGCAAGAGGTTGCATCGACCATATCTTCACCCTCCGACAGATTCTGGAACAGCGACACTGCTTCCAGCAACCAACAATGGTTGTTTTTCTTGATCTGAAAGCTGCCTTTGACTCTGTGGACCGCCAAGCACTATGGCAGTGTCTGTGGAGCAAAGGTGTCCCCCATAAATTCTTGAACCTCATTAAGGCGCTGTACGCCAACTCCCGCGGCCGTGTAAAGGTCTACGGGAAGCTCTCTCCTGAGTTCACCACATCAAGTGGTGTCCGACAGGGTTGTCCTCTTTCACCTTTCCTCTTTAACTTCGTCATTGATACGATCATGGAAGACTCACTACCAGCCTCTAATGCCTGTGGGGTCGAAGTGCTCCCTGGGCCTCCGCTCACAGACATCGAGTACGCAGACGACATAGCTCTTCTAGGATCTGACCCCGTGGCATTGCAAACAATACTAAATAATCTAAATAATTCTGCCTCGCGGTTTGGTATGCGCTTCACACCTGCAAAGTGTAAAGTGCTACTGCAAGACTGGGTGGGCTCGAACCCTAGCGGATGAACCGATTGAGGTAGTAGACAAATTTGTTTACCCGGACAGCTGTATCAGTCCCGGTGGTCTGGCGAAAGATGATATTTCCACCCGGATTGGAAAGGCCAGAGCAGCCTTTGAGAACCTACGTCACCTGTGGCGTAGGCGCGACATCAGCTTCTCTGTCAATGGTCGAGTTTACAATGTTGTGGTGCGCTCCATATTACTATACGGATCAGAAACCCGACCGTTGCGCGTCGAGGACGTCAAAAGGCTTTCAGTGTTTGAATACTGATTTCTTCGGAGAATTGCCCGAATCTGGTGGGAACACCGGATCAGTAATTCTGAAGTAAGTCAAATGGTATTCGGGAGAAATAACTCACCATCGATAGATGAACTGATCACACTGGATAGGTTGCGCTGGCTTGGCCACGTGCTGCGTATGCCAGTCGACCGACTTCCTCGAAGGGCTCTTTTCGCACTCTTCCACGTGAAGGGTGTAGGAGGGCCAGAGGCGGTCAAACAATGACTTGGAAGCGAAGTATGAAAGCCATTATCAGCAAACTCAGCTGCGCTGGTCACTGCCGTCTTCCTGAATGGGGACCCCAAAACGGGCCACATCACTGGTTAGAGACATTATCAGACATGGCCCAGTCTCGCCCTCAGTGGCGCTCGTGCATCCAAGCTATTGCCTTCAATGCATAGCTCCTTTTCCAACCCCCCCCCCCTACTTGACAGCCCACTGACAGTGCTGGGCTGTCGAAGAGTCTTCAGCAGCCTTGCGAGTAGTTTTTTTAATGAAAATATACTTCGATACCTCGAATATCGTAGCAACCGAAACATGAGGCAGATTGTGTGCAGCACATTTAATTATAGAATATCATAAACGAGAGATTCAGTTGAGTCTCTCGTGAAAACCAAATTGATTTGCGAACGAGTGTATTTCTCAGCTAGCACACTTCACATACACGGTGGAAAAATCCGGCCTCAACTAAACTGTAATACAAGTATGTCTTGTCTCAAACTGCCTTGAGATGTAATCACAGCTACATGAGAAGGTTTTGGGAACAGCGTATTGCCGAACTGAGTGCAACGTGAAGGTAAGTTTAGCTGTTCACTTTCGGAGGTGAAAGGAGGCACAAGCTGGGAATAGGACATAAATTTCGATTAGTTCCAGCGTATCCTCTAACCTGTCAGATGATATGACAGTTACTCAAAGTATGTAGGAGGGAACCACTCCGCATAACTCAAAAGCGACGAGTAAGTAGGATGTTGTAGTTATCAAGGACCGGCATACTTTACTGTTGATGTTTTTTCTTGAGTGCCCTGTCTTTTCGACAACAGTCAAGAGTGAGTTTCATTCAACAATGTCCGTACATTTCTGTTGTCCATCCTTCGTGGCTCCATGTTCGATTAATTGGTGAAAATTGATGAAAATTATCACTTGGAAGAACCTTAAACCTCGTGTCCCTCCAACAAAGAGTGCCTTCAAGATAAGCACCGTTTTCATGAGTCTCGTGGGCGCGCGCTTCCTGGAGGTGGAGAATGAACGCTGTGTATTGCGTGCGTGATTGTTCGCCTGCCATTAGAGCTTGGCACCTGGCAAAGTTGTAAACGACTCGCTAACAGTTGAGAAGATACCATTCTACCGTCCTTGGGTCAGACGGTCACTAAGCAACAGTCCTTCTTAAGCAGTCGGGGTATGAGAAATTTCAACACAAGCGATAGACTGGCAAGAAAACCGCACAGCAAGTGTGCAGGAAACTGGCATCTTCCGAAATCTGAGGTGAGGCTTTGAGTAAGATTCCCCCCTAACTTCTACCTAGTCGGTACTTATCAAGTCCCCTCCTGAGGAACCAAGCTGGTCCCAGTAAGGCTCGATAAAAATGCTAAAATAAGCAAAAAACACTTGAAGTTAAATTCGCCATGCGTACAAGTGACGCTGGACATGTCATAGTGCTGGGGTAAGAGTATAAACTTTGGCAATGAAGGTTAGGTGACTGATTCCTGGTAGATTCACGTGATGAGCACCCCCCCCCGTAGTGGACTGATTTACCAGAACCGACCACGGTCGTCCTGTCAGCTAGAAATTTATCTGAGAGATTCCAAAGATTCTCGGAACAATGTTTGGATTAGGTTGGTTTTCTGAGATGACTTGGCTCCTCTTGTGAAACCGATGGGATATACCATGGGGTAGAAAGTCACACTCCTCGAGGGGCTTTATAAACCATTTTGTTTTATAGAAACTATCCACAGGTCTTGTACCACCTGCCTTGTGAAATGAAGCTTGCTGATAAGTGTGTTTGGACTGAAATAACACCGTCTCTAGACGAGACACTCAGGCAGATTTCCACCGCTTGGTTTTCGTCATCACAATTGTGTGTTAGCGCTGAACGGAAAAGCAACGTAAGAAAGATAGCTAGTACATGCCTGCTTGTGCCAGCAGAAAAATCGATAGCGTAGTGTGGCATGATTTGTTCACGCACACACGCACGCATTTAGGCATGCACGTACACGCAGCCATCGATCAGGCCTAACTGATCTGACGTGATGTTCGATACTATCCCAGATCGATCGATTGACTAGATCTGTTTTTCTACAAACAAAAACTCAATATTGAGATCCTGAATCTGATAGCTTAAAAAATAAGTAATTAGACGCCCGTTTCCATTCAAAAGAGTGAGCAACATCAGGACTGTAGGTTCAGAGACAGAAAGCGGGGCAAACTGTTTGACAAGGTTACTGGTCCATTGCCAAAATTGGCAATTGTTTTTGACACTTTTTTTTTAGGAATAAAGGCTTCCGTCTCGTGGATCGGTTTTATTAATGTGAAGTGTTCATACATTTGCTTAACGCATTCAGTGCTACACAATTACTTAGGTTTGTGGATCAACCACTAGGACCTTCAGCCAGAAGGATCGCTTGACACCTCGGTAGCTGGTGAGTTTTCTTTCTTTTTGTGTACAATAGGTGATGTTTTGCGGTTCCTTACAAGCATACACGCACGCGCCCATTTTGATTGGTGCTCACTTTGAACTCCACCGTTATTCATTCGTACTTCAATATAACTCACCTACTGCTTTCCACATTTCGTGAATTCCGAAAAAATCACCGAGTTCAAATTTGTTCAAATTACCGCTAAACGCTGATAGGAAAGATGTTATCGGATGGTGAGGATCTCGGCCACACGTGACTTTTTATGCTTGTTCAAATCTATCAGGCTGGTTTGGGGGAGCGAGATGAACCCGCGGTCTTTTGCCAAGATAAGGTTTCCCCCACTCTCCCAGCCATTGGTTTTACAGCTAGGGAGTTTGTTAACTAGGTGAGAGGAACTTAGCCTAACCATCTAGTGCCGGTTTAGACAGCTTCACTACTAGTGAGTATTCAGAGACTTCCATCTGGATACTTTTATCACGAAGAGGCTGAACCGTGGTGTGACGGTTTGTGTACCTCGGCGACCCATTAAGCTATACTGAGGGGTGTCCCCGTGACACTCGCAGAGTCTCTCATACCAGGTTTGTCAATGGTTGGAGATTTGACGAACATGGTCCTCTAGGTTGGGGGTTGGAACATGTGTTCTATAAAAGTGGTAATGTATTTGAATTTCCCGACAAACACCGCTGCCTTGCGGTTAGGCTTTTGAGCCAAAGGCTCTGGTTGAGGACCCCAATCGTTCTCCTGTGTGGGCTGCCTGACAGTATCCCAGCCCACGTAGAATCATGATACTACTTACAATAAACTCATGCCACATCGACCATCGCGTGGTGCCATCAGCCGGGTCGCCTTACTTGCTGCATACAGCAGGGCGGGTGAGCGAAATCATGCTACTGCTGACGCCTCCTTTCATTGTCCTTCACATAATATCTCTTCCCCTCTCTCCCCATCCCATTAATAACTCTGCTCTTGTAGGCCCAACACTTAGGACTGATGACTCCGTTCGATCTGCATCGGTTTTTCAAGCAACATATGTGCGCCGTCCGGTGCCAACATCCCTTTTACGGCAGCGAAGCATTACTGTTGAACGCTGATATCATGCTGTCGATGATGATACGGAGAGTTTTCGATCCACGTGAAGGAATCGACGATCGCACAGAATGGCGATAGCGGAGATCCGGTTGCTAGGACTGACGTGCGCTCCTAACCGGATTTTACGCCCCTTGTATTTGAGTATGAGTCACGACAACTCTAAGGGCGACTTTCTATGAATTCAGGATAGCTTATTACAGTTTTGAGGGGACAACTACTGGACAAGAAGAGCAGCCGGGTTACAGTCAACATTCAATGCAATAAACAAAACACTCGAGGACAAAGTATAGGGGATATAGGGAAATTTATCGGATTGATCATGGAACTCTGAGCAACTGACGCTCCGCCGATCGATTTTTCGGCAAAGCATTGGAGAAGTGACTCACGTATACCAGAAATGGTTTCTTTTTCCAAAAAAAAACATGTTTCATCCCTCCTGTTCGGCTGCCTTAAAACTGAATTCACTCACTTTGTTTAAATTTGGTTTGTATGAGACTGTTAGAAATATTTTCAATCCAATTCTGCTCAGAAGGTCGATAAAAACCGTACAATGCACTAGAAGTCTTCCTTATCTTGGAGCTCACCACATCAGCCTAGTTCCCCGATCTGCATCAACTAGGTTTCCTGCTTGATCTCCGATGAACATTCATTAGCAAACTAACTTGGTGCTGACGGGAGGTTCGGCTAAATGTCTTGGTTATATTCTTCTATTGGGCGCACTGTATAAAGGCCACTTCACGTTTCAGCCAGGAATTTGTTCAAGATATCCACGTCTGTTTCAATCGCTAAAACCTGGCCTATTACCGGTTTCCACCTCCATTTTGGGACCCATCCTGTAGGCCAGTTGCGGGAGACAACATCAGGCTACTTTGCACCCGAGGTTTCATCACTGTTTGCATGGGACACCGATAGAAGTGCGTCGATTAATGTTCGCAGCTTACTCACGTGACCCGGAGTCATCCAGATGGGTGTTGGTAAGTATCAAAAAGTGTGAGCAGATCAGATGAATCTCACATCCATGCTCAAGAACATGGGTATTTCACACAATCATATACCAAGCCCTAACTTATGCCTGAGCAATCTGATCTCCACAAACAGAGCATAGTAAGTTGCTGGAATCACGTGACCAGAGTGCTTCCAACGAACGGTGACAAGCCGTTACTCAAAGAAGACGTCCGTGAGCTACCTTAGTTTGTGTCAGGATAGATGACAATAAACAGGACTGCTCGATTTCGAGACCCAGCTTGTCTATCCGGTTGGGCTTGAACTGAGCATGTTTCTGGCAAGCCTCTCAGACAGAAATCACAAGACTACAGGGGGATTCTCCCCACACGTGAGTAGTCGCGTCATTCTGACGTGACATACATTGATGAAGCATCTGGGTATTAAGAAGGCCAGTTATCGTGAAGGGATTTCAAATTCTCGAATTTTGTCACCGATCGATGAAACTAACGTAAGAGAAGAATCAAACACAAAGCAAAAGTTTGTCTGCTTTTTTCAAACGAACCATCTCTGTCTGGTTAGTAGGAATTAGCGAATCAAACACAAAGTAAACATTTGTTTGCTCTTTTCGAGCGACCCATCTCTGTCTGGTTAGTAGGAATTAGCGGCAATACTACTCAACAAATCGATGATTGCCCAGTGGGTGTGAGAGAAAAAGCAACCTTTTGCAAAAAAAGAATCTCGATTGGAATGCTTTTGTGCAGCTCATTCATTCAGTAAGTTAGGCGGAGAAATGCTTCCACCCGCAAAAGCATTTAAACGTGGAAAGGTGTGAGATTTTCAGATTTTCTACATCAGTTACTCTCGCTTGATTCGAGTGAATATGATGTTGGAGAATCATTACAACGCGCGGTTGCGGGTTTCACGTGACTGTCTTCTGATTGGTTGGCCGCCCCCTTCCGAAGTGATAATACGTGGACGGAAATAAATACGTCTCTAGATGTAATACACTACTCATAAGGTTGCCGACAATTCTTTGACAGCCCATGACCGGTTTCTCCTGTCTTGGAGCTCATAAGGTAGGTGCAACCCCGAGGTCCCACCGCTAATCTCATGCTCTACTTGAACCCTAATTACACGAATTTAGCCAATGTGGTTTTGTGAGAGACTCACCTGGAACTTCTAAGCTAAATGCGTCTCTGTTTACCAGTCCTTCCCCCAGTCTGGTGTGCTTATTCCAACTGTTCTAAACCCGGATCAATAGGAGTTCATTAACAGGTGGCCGAATTTCGAACGTATCCACAAGAAACCAGAAACTGTTAGGCCGATTTAACGCGCATCACTAAGGCGTCATGCCGGACAGGTCATTGGTCGGTGCAACGAGATGTGTTCTTGAGTCGAAGACGTCAGAGATCGCTTCGAAACAAATGAGGTATTTCAGCACCCTCTGCTTCGGTGTCAGGTAACCAGAATAGTTACATGGATGGAGGAGTCTGTGGTGCACGCGCTCGCTTAAGCGCCACTGACAATTCAGAATGATCGATATGCAGCGGGAACCCTTTTATTCATGAACAAAGTCCAAAGTGCAGTTTAAAGAAATCTATTCGTCGCCAAGCCATTTCTCTAGCCCACCTTGCGTGAGTTTGTCAGAATCAGAGTATTTTGTGTATTCTTTTTTGCGTTAGTACAACCATGGCTCATCTAACCACCGTACAACTTCAGGTTAGTTGAAGATCAGGTACAGATTATGATCTTTCTGATACCGGGTACCAGAGTCTGAAAAGTTTAACTGCTTATTGAATACAACTCGAAAGAACTAGACTAACTTGTGGTCTAGCGAACCATGGTCGTAGTCTTGTGCACTTTATCATTGCTCGGCTTCAACGTGGTCAGTTTCAGCTGTAAACCACGTAAGTGTACATTGGTTACAACTACCACGTGTTCGTTCGCCGATTATCTGAGAAGATAAGGGGTAGATAGCTAAGCATTCGAGATCATTGTGGTAAAAGTGTTCAGTTAGAAACAAACGTTTATATACGAATGACTTTGGTTCGACTTTCGGGGGCCTAATAGGAATGACAGAAACTCGAGGACTAAGCCAAACCGATGAGCCACAAAAACGATGGAATCGGTACTGGGCTGTCCAGACGTTGTAAGCAAGAAAGGTCAGTCCTGTTCGATTAGCACTCAACTAACATCTGATAACAGATAACAAATACTAAGTCCGCGTGATGTCTATCAGGCGATGGCATTTATTCTGGCAACCATCGTTCCTTCGGTTTGGAAACACATTCGGCCAACCTCCATAGTTATACGAACCATTTCTGCTTTCGGGTAAGAAGCATGGCTCACTACACACTGATCGTGTCAGGGCGCGCCCAGACAGAAGAGAAAGCACATGTGCAGAGAGTGACGCATCCCCAAGGTCACCATCGGTTCGACACGTCCGGAAAGTAGGTGAGTTGGCGGCTCTCACCAAACGGCTTAGCAACACACGACCAGCGTAGTGGGCCTGAGAATGTTCACGACCGGAACACCACCATTGGCTGTACGGAGCGAACAAGTGAACGACCATATTTGGCCAATTAGTCATCCTATATATTTACGCAGACGCTCTGTACGTTTTGTCCTGGCAATACAGCCGTGTCCCCAGTTCTCTGTCTTCTCCCTATCACGTAGTCTGGCAGGCTCAGTGCAGGCGTAACCCCATAGCTCGGCCACCGCGCACAATACAACAGATCGATTGGTTTATTTCGATTCTCCGACAAGACTTATCAGGGAAATGATGATCTTGAACAAGGAAGAATCCAACCCACTCCATTCTGTGCTATGAAGTCGGTGGCACACAACGCTCTGATTTGATCGATGAGGTTGCTGAAATGCATCTTTGCTTGGTGTCCACGGCTTGCGAAAAACGATTTTGATCCGAACTACTGCAACATTGTGAGTAGCTCAGAAAAGCACATGTTTCTGAGTGTTCAATGTCATTTATTCTTTCAAACGAGGTCGTGTTCTGTATGTTGAACACGCAAAGTGCAGCAGAGTTCGAGAAATGTTTAAAAATCGCCACTGTTAACCTGCGACATGTGTGAATGTATACTGTGCAAGTAAGCAACTTCACTATGGTAAAACTAGACTAGCTCAGCCTCTACTCTGATTTTGCTGAGACCCTTTTTGACAATAACTGAGGTTAAGAAAAAATGAGGGTAAAACATGCTACGTTTTTGCTCGTAATTTAACTCATTCCAATGAACGTTCCCAAAATAAGGTTTTTAGGCTGTTTTACGTAGATGGTCTTTGTTTGGGGGTAAGGCCGCCCTTGAAATGAGCTTCGAATTGCACAAGAACCCCCTTTCAACGAACAATTTATTTTCCTTTTTGACCTAAAGAGGGGTTCTCGTTTTCAATCATTGTCCAAACTATTTAGCGCAAGGTATCTTCCTCTATCACTGTAAAAAAATCTTTGAACTTACTGGCAAGCGTGGCTCCAACTTCAGTCAAACAGAAATCATGGGCTTCCTCGTACGTCATCGGTATCCCAATGTAATAGAAGCAGTTGAAATCATGAAACGCCCAAGTTGGGGGACACTGGGTACCTTCGCCCAGAACTGACTGGTTTGAGGGATAGGCGAAAGCAAGATCTACACGAATCCGATATGGGTCATCCTCCGCGTCGTAAACGCGACTTCGGGCGAAACTCTGTGCAATGATCTCTGGTGTGCTTGACTTGACCAACTGTGAAGATTTGTCCCTCTGTTTGCCTGTTAAACCCTGGTTCGTGGAAACTGTATCCCCCCACCAATTCGAACGAGCATCTAAATGGTCCGGTCGATAGCACAGACAGGCGTCGAATTCGAGGCGCAGTGTCCACCCATGGGGACATACTTCATCTGGTGAAGGGCAGTTTGTTCCTGGTTGAATCGGAAGTGTCCTAAGGAGTGGAAAGCGATGAGTTTATCAATGGAAGTCATCTACAAATGGTACAAATAGTGTTTTTGAATGCTTTTTTTACGTCATAACAGTTGGAACAAGACGAGATTCAACTCCACCTTAGTCCATTCAATTGATGCGATCAGAGTTTACCGGATAAGTCTGAGGAGAACATTACTCTGCCGTCAAGCAGTATTCCTTTTAAGTTGGCCTGCAGTGTCCACCAGTGTATAGACGAGACAAATGATTCTCAATGCACCAGAGCACTTGGAACATCTGGGCCAAGAATGGGTCTCCTAACGAGAACCGGGTTTCAGAGCTGCACATGGCAATTGCATTTTCGTCTCCTTGGCTTGTATATCCACCAGTGTATAGACGACACAAATGATTCTCAATGCACCAGAGCACTTGGAACATCTGGGCCAAGAATGGGTCTCCTAACGAGAACCGGGTTTCAGAGCTGCACATGGCGATTGCATTTTCGTCTCCCAATAAAAAAATGAACGATTTAACACTGAATTGCGTAAGGACGGGTGCCCAGGGCTGAAGGAGAATGACGAGGTGTAAAACAATTGTTACTACTTATATGAATTGCAGTAGTTGAATTTCATTAAAACTACGTAAGGACTGTATTCGGCTGACTAGGCAAAATGCATGCTGAAATGCATTTACCCCATTGTTGGGGGCAAATCACCGTTTAACCATATTGTTAAGGTCAATTCTAGTAGCCCAGTCATTGAAGCGAGCGATTAGTTCAAGGTACACTTTGGTTCTTTTGAATTGTCGTTCCAACTCAAGGTGATCGATCGTGGAATAGGGTGTGCTGTCCTCTAACTGCCTTGGGTAGAACTGACTGGATACCAGTTCTAGGACGCGACGTCCGGTCAATGCGTACGTATGAGTGATTCAATTGAAAAATTATAACTTGAGGTTGACCTAAGCTCGGGGGCTGCGTCTAACTGAAGAGCCCGAAGAAGGTTGAAACCGGTCGTGGTTTGTTGAAGAGTCCTCAGCAACTTTATGAGTAGTATGTTGAATCTCTAACTCTTAGGTGGCAATATGTTAAGCTAATGGCCGTTCCCATTGTCGGTGTCACTTTGTTCTCTGTGGGGTTCTGGGCTAATTGATCATCAGATGACCACCAGCCCAATACGAGGTATCGCAGCACCCGACGCTATTGATTGATGAGCACAATAACCGTCCCAAAAAGATTAAATTTCCATCTGAGTAAATTGCCTGCTTGCTTAGTACCGCACACTAAGAAGGCGAATCCACTTGAAGTAATATTGTCAGTTCACTAATTTGATTGTCAAGTGTGAAGACAGTAGTCACAATTAGGGAGTATCATCACCACAAATCTGGCATTCGAATAAGTCATCCAGATGCTCTGGGAAGCTCGACAAAATTATGGATGTATTTGCAAGGTCGAGCTTATCAGACCTCGGTAGAAACTAAGCCGTTTTGGCCAGACGTCAAAGAACCGTATGGGCGATGCCGAGATTTGTGCCGCGGCTATCAAAACCATTCTTCCGAAAAGCGCAAGGTTGGCGAACACCGGACAGGGGAAAGTTTCTTTCCCATCCCTGATACGCGTACCTACCATCAAATCTTTACGGTTCATTGTGACACTCATAGAATGCCAGCAGTTGGCCGCCGTGAAGTGCAACTTACTGTCGCGCACAATCGCATAGCACACGAATCTTAGTTAGCATTCGCTAAATTGACATATCCAATGACATTGCACTTTTAAATGACTACCTAACGGTACCCTGCAAATACTCTAAGCGGAACGTCTGTCGTCTTCAGAGATACCATTCTCTACATCTTCGCCATTTGCCAACTTATACACTGGGACGAAATACGGAGATGTGGAAAACAAGTACTCGTAGAATTTCGCGAAGTTTTAGGTGATCGACTCATCCACCCATCTGTATACTAATTTGACTTTGGAACCCAGCTGAAACTCTTTTTTATGATGTCCTCACTCAACTGAATGTGCTGCCCCAGACCGTCTCAAGTTTCAGTTGGTACGATATTCGAGATATCGCTATACATTTACAGACTACTCATACGGTTGCTGAAAACCTTCCAACAGCCCAATAATTTTTCGATGAAGATTCTATCTTGTACGTGAAGTCAATCTACACTGAGAAGCCGAGATGTAGCTGTGTCATCCTTGGAAATCACCACGGTCTGTCGACTAGCTGTTGAGAGCTACCATGGCTGCCTGATCAGCAGTGTGGTAAACTCGCAGTTAGACAGATTAAGGCTAAACTTGTCCTTCAACGACTCAGTTCGCATCACAAGGGTCGACTGACTTTGTGTGACGACTACTCATGAGCAGGTTGCCTATTGTTCGTAGGCTTCCAAAGTCAGTGACATTTAGGCTCGACTGTGATATGAGCAACCGAGAAAACTCCTCATCGACACATGAAGTCACACCAGAACTGCTGAAAAAAACCCACAAAAGTCAGTTCAAATCTGGACAGTATATCTGCTGATTAGCCAATCTGTGGTATCTGCTGCTGGCCCGCTCCAGTGCCCAGTGCCTGAAAAATAGACTCACAGAAGGGAACACAACAGCCATATTCCGAACAAGCGAGTGCGAGAGCAAAACTTACAACGCCCCCACGTTATTTAAAGGAGACTTCCTGATATTGATCCAGGCGGTCTGACAGGCGTTAGTGAACACCCATCAACATCGATCGTGCCTCTATGAAATGCCTGAACGCTGATCACATTTGGTCGTGCTTCTGTGGCGTGTCAGAACACTCATCAGGCTTTGCTGAATTGATTGAATGATTGATTGGCCTGAATTCTTGCCGTCTTTCCTGTTGAGTTCTTAGTGGAGCAGTAGGTTCCGGGCGTTCTGAGGTTACTTTCAGGAATCTGACCTTCCAGATATATACCATCCTTTTGGATAGCATGGCTCACCACACAAATGGTTGAATGTGTCCCATCTGTTCAATAATGGTTCAGCTATGACACTTTCGGTGTCTGACTGCCTTGCCGACCGAAGAAAGTGCGGGGACTATGCAAAGTTAGACAGGAGTAGTTGAGATGACCCATCCACTATGTGGGACTGCTTTTCCTGTGTGTCATTCTGGAGCGTCCTTTAACAACTGATCGAGGAAAGCCGACCCGACAAAAGAAACGCACATGAATTGGGAATACAATCGGAATCGAGTGTAATTGAAAAGGTCGCGAGAATTCCAAGACGATATGCGACGAATGTCGACGTGTCACACGGATGTTTTATCTTCACTGGTCCTGTGTGTACCTTACAGGATAACCCTCAAGATTTTACCCGTGCCCTATAGCCAAGCGATTCCGGATAAAACTACTGAAAAACGCAAAATTACTGCCGCGGGTAAAACCAAACTCACCGAATCACACTACGGTTTCCCACAACCAATTCGAAATCGTTCACAGGATTTTTAAAATAGTTGTCCGTAAATTGATTTTTTGAATTTTCCGCAAACACTGTAGTCCTTTTGGTGTAGTTGAGAGCTTGGTTTTTGTAGAAACCATTTTGGATGAACAAAGATCCATGGCTCAAGTCTTCCTCACCACTGCAGTTCAGAATGACATCGCCACAGTTGTCATGGACAAAATTTTGGGCAAATGGGTTGGCAAGGACGCCGGAAATTCGAATGAGATCTCGCAAACCACAGTCGTTATGCGCAATGTAGTTGCGTACCACTTGTAGAGTATTGAAGTGATTACCTTAGGGAGGGGGAAATATAAAACAGTTCATTCGTTTCATGAGAAAAGTCAGGTCGTAACAGCACAGATAACAAAGTATCAATCACCCACGACTCCGAACCGATCGATCAGCCTCAGGTTGTTGAAATCTACTGCAGTACTAAGGGGGATAAGAATACCATCCCTTTGCCTAAGCTAGTGATCCAAGTTTAGTGCTGGTGGGCCATCCTTTCAAAGAGTACCCTTAGGCACCGAGGATGGACTAATCTGCCTTAGCAGTAAACTCTTTTTACCCGGACTTGGTTCTGCATGTAGCGTGACTCGTTGGAACATTCGCGATGGAATCGCAGAAGGTACAGTCGGAGGAAAATAGGATCAAATTACTGAGGGTTTCGCTAGTTGCCACATGAAAGACCTTTATAGCTCCAGATAACCTGGACACTGAAGGATAGTGACCATTATTCACGTTCAGCTCGTCTTGCAACCACGTATGTGCACTACCACTGAATACCTGGTGAAATCAGTTCGGATGAAATAGGAAATTCTCTCCTATCTGCGTGGAATCTTTCGATAGATAACTGACAGAAAGAATGTGTTGTGTCATGCTGAACGGTAGCGCAACTCTGTATCAGTCCCTTGGCTTCCTTCTCCACCCACTATGGTATATCAAAAGGCACGTTAGCTCCGCACAGCCCTTTATGGGGATAAAGGAAAATCATTACAACTGCATTTATACCGTAGTCACAGAGTGTTCCACAAGGTCATGCTAGAATCTCTGTGAGAGGGCCAGAAGCATAGAGTCAGAGGTGCTCAATCCGGATTGGCTGGCAATCTGACCAATCAGGGCATGCCGTCGTTTGTTCCGTGTCCTGCACGTGACACATCCGTCCAAATGATGTGACGTTCGGTTATAAGGGACGGCTCGCCTTCGGACAGAATGGCAATAGTGTTGTCGTAGATCGATCTTCCTCAAGGTGGAATCCATCGAAGGGGTTTCTTCGAGGAATGGGGAATATTATATTCAAATTTGTCTAACAATACCAAAGTATGGAGTAGTTTAGGCAGCTGAAGGAGTTCTCTATCGGTCTAATTTAATCAGCTTTAAGTGAGATCCCCTCTGTTTAGATTGGTAAAGGCTGTTTCCATTGTGACCGGCCTGCCTCCGTGAAGGCATCCATTTGGATCAAAATGGAAGGTGTAGAGCTCTTCATCTGTAGCACCATTTCGAAGCTCAACTACCACACCACTCAAATGGAGCACGAGAGCTTGGATACTGCCAGGTTGTCCAGGCCTAGACAGGTGAAGTCGAGAGGCACAGGCTTGGTTTGAACCACGGACCTTCTGGTCAGCACTTTCGTGCTTTGATCAATGGGCTACTCGAGGCTTTAGAGATTCGCGAGAGAGTGGATAGAATTTCTGTCCAAAGTTTTCTACCGTGACGTCACCACTTGGTAACACCTCCGAACAGCACGTTGGAGTGAATCGACATACGGGAGTGGCCTAGACATTTCTGCGAGTCCTACCCAACAGAAGCCCAGCATAAAACAACAGACTTAAGATAACCGGTCTTGCCAAGAAGTAAAGGTGCAACCGTGCCAACGAGGTCTTTTGCATGCAGGATTCTGTAGGCCTTCGTTCTACGCACAAGGAGAATGACATAGACCCATGTCAGAAGGGCGCGAAGATCCCGCAGAGCTTAGCCAATTTCTCTACATTGTCACATTCTGTGGCCTGAGATTCTTCCGCCAAGTAGGGTGTGAAGAGAAAAGGACAGCTTCCTTTGGTAGACGTTGGTTTGGAATGTCCATACACCTTGAGCTAGAAGACATTTGACAACTCAGATCGAACGGGACATACAGTATGGAAGTTCTGTAAAATGTCTTATAGACCCGATCTTTGAGCTTTGCCAGCGTGCGTTTCCGACCATATAGACAGTCCAAATCCAGAGATCGGAAAAGTTTCTTTTGGACGCAACGTAGTGCCTCCAACAGTCGGGTTCCATTTGCCTCTTCGATCGATAGTCAATGTCGGAAATCATTTTACGCGCCATGACGATACGTCCATGGACTTAATGTGCCGCAGTAAAATCATGACCCATAAGCCTTCAAAGATGCACGGACCTGTCGACAGGGTCAAGTTATAAAGATTCATGTTCAAACGAAGTTCCGGATGTAAGACTTGGCCTTCTGAAGGTGAAAAACGTGCGCTCGGAGGGAAATTCATTTCCCATACCCCAGCAGTGTAGACGTAAGAATGCTCGACAAGCAGGAAACACGTACGGAATGGTTCCATTTAACCGGACATTACTAATTTTTAGGGAATTTTTCTGCGAAAGAACAACAGTGATGTTGCTACGTTCAGCTAGATAACAGAGCACAGCGGTTCGTACGCCTGGTCTCATCAGGAGCTCATTCCGGTCCCACCTTTCGAAGACAATGTACGTGACAACTTGCTGCCCTAACTTGACGTAGAACGCTGAGATATTCCACTAAAATGGCACACAAGATTAGGAAAGGATGTCACAAAAACTGAAATAGTGGCTTCCATAAAAGGGGTTGGAGAGGCATCGGCATGCAGGGCGACTGAAAGGACAACATGACGTTACAGACCGTTGAAAACCCTCAGATGATCACAAACTTTCTTCACGGCGCGTCCCGTGTTTTGAACCCAGAGGTCCAGGAAAGGTAGAACAGCCATCCACTGCGCGTATTACCAAATTTACCGTCGGAAACAGAAAAGACTACCAGCACTAGATAGCACTGAAATCCTGCAAAACGAATGTCTTACCTTCAATCCATATCGCTCCACCAAAGCGGTTACGCACAATCGCGTTATTCGTCACGTTCAACCGACTTCCCCGACTCAGTTGGCTGGCCAGGAGCAACGCACGTATCACGTGGCCAGAATGATCATAGAAGTAGGAATTGGTTATGGCCAAATTTTTGGCGTTGGTCATTCGGAGGTGTATTGCACTGGGTCCGGTTATATTCAGTATGACCAGACCGTTTCGAATGAAGCGCAGATTGGAGAGCAACACATCGGGGCCAGTCTCGCCGACGCTGACGATGCTAATCCCGCCACCTTGGTTCGATTCGAATTCACACGTATCAACTTTGTGTCTAACTGGCTGCGCTGTAAGTGAAAATGAAAGTATGACTCATGGAAATAACTCCTCCCTTTACAAAAAGACATTACGGAGCACAAGAATTTAGCTCCAGTGACGGAATTTCTTATTCGGGCTTTTCGAATTTTGTCTGTTTTTTTTCAACTACTTATATTAGGTAAAGTAGTATACAAAGGTTTAATTTGTTTTGTGCACGCACAGTAGTCGAAGGGCTACATAGAAAACGGGAGTGCATGGTCCCTGTCCTATGTCGAGCACTACAGCAGGTCTTGGTAACCGTGAGTGATCTAAGAGTCACTGTTTCTCTCCAGGATGTCTCCCCTATCATGGACCTCGTTTCACATAACTACTTTTCTGTAGCCGCCGTCTTCCAAAGAGGATGTTTGTCTCCTACCCACAACAAGCTTGGGTCCAATCAACTCATCGTTTGACCGGAATCCCGGCCCACAATGCTAAAAAACACCCGTGACGATTCGACCACAATTACCATGAGTCAGCGCCTTATACTCTTAAATTTGTCCGCGAGACCTTCATCTGCACAGCTATCCTCCGAGAAAGACAACTCTAATTTCAGTGGCTCACTGTTTGTCTTGGCATAACACATTAAGTGGCTGGAAACTCTTCAGCATTCCACGGCAGGTTTCACTCTTCTTGGGGTTCAGTCCCCGACTTCTCGTTAAACTATACGCCATTCGCAAAGTGCACTCCTTTTCACAGCAATTCGGTTTTAACGGAAGGTGCAACTGAAACTCAGCTGAGATTATCATTTATGATATTTCTCAACTAAATGTGTTGTACAAGGGCCACCTCAGGTTTCAGTTTGTGCGATACTTGCGGTAGCACAGTACATTTTCTAAAGGGAACGTTTATCGTTATACTGGCGACAACTCTCCGATGGATAGTGACGGGTTTAGCCCTTCATAAACAAGAGATTCAGCCGGAATTCAGTTGAGACACACGTGGTCTGCAAATGAATGCATTCCGGAATTTGGGTCCATCATTCATGCACTTCGAGTCCACTGACCGATCGGGCCGTAACCAGGTGAATACCCTCTATTCACCGAGCTGACATTGTGAACTTTGGCCACTTCGTGTACTGATGAGCCAACAAAAAAGTACGTTCGGTTGATTAGTTCTATTCTAGACGATCGATCGGCAGTAACATGCTAGTAGTTGGAGAAAATGAGCAGCAATTTACTTCAAATGTGGTGATTAACTGTCATTTCAAGAACTACACTTCAACCTACCCAGTTCTGGATAGGTCCTTTCTGGAGACAGTGGTAAAGTAACCACCTCGGCGACAAAACCAAAACGATTGTTTGCCGGACTGGCGTGCACGTAGACGCCTAGACTATCATGGATTGGTGAGGTGATGTAGGTGAACCTTTCGGCGATCGGTATACTGTGATTGGCTAGTCTCTTCGCTGTCACGTGAGCAATCCGAAAAGTTGTGTTGAAATTGGCTCCGTTGTACAGTTCCACTGAGTTCTGTGAAAAATACAGATTCGGAAGAGTTTTGTACAAGAAAATATAAAACAACAGGAAGGAATAACATGGAGTTAAAAGACCGGTAGAGGGTGCTCAACAACAACTGTTGTTTAATGAAAAGACACTATTATCGGTGGTTGAACTTGAGGTCCATCCCTATGAAGTCAAGATACTGAAAGGAAGACAAGATGATATCCGAATGGGTGTCATCAAGATGGCGTCCAATAACAAACTAAGTTGGTGAGTAAAACCAGCCCAACTGAACCCGAATGTACATGAATCAGACAGTTACGAATTGGAGGAGCTATCTAGCGCACAAGGATGGTGGATCGATACACGAAAGAGTGGTTATCCATCCTGAGGACTGTCATGACATCACGGATTCTCCACGAAGGTACAAACGGTTCTATCCACCTCAGCGTAAAACTATCGAAAGAGCGAATTTCTAGGGATAAACACCAATGAAGTTCATGAAGAAAAACAGTGGTTTTTCTTGAAAGAAGTGCACCAGTCAAGCAAAAAGACTGTTGGGAGAAAATAAACGAGGCTCAACATCGATGCTTCACTGCCGTAAACTGAAATGCGCCTGATTAGCTCAGCATGTTGAATTCGATTCAACTACTGACACTTTGGTAGTAGTAGATCCATAAAACAGTTAGACATTCTCCTCTCAAAAATTGTGAACAGTGTAGGTTTGAGTGTTTCAGTGGAGACCGATTGCCCTTGTTGAAATTTGTGAATAATTGAGTAAGTTGGAAATTGATCAGTGTAAGTGCTAGCTAGGCCTCCACATTGCAAGTGTTCCTCGTCTTTCGAATCTTACGCGCCAATCCCGGTATATATCCACTGCAGCCATTGAACTCTGGAATTATCTCGAGTTCTTCGGGATTGCGTAGAACGGGACCGTTGTGTCAATCAACATCTCAATGACTTGGTTCGAAAGGAAAATGTGCAAATAACAAGAGTGTCACTCCTCGACCGGACGCACTAAACTGATTTCTGCGCTCGATACCGCACGGTACCTTACGTATCCACAGGTTTTGTTTAACTGGCCGAACGTTTAGTCAGTCTTAAGAGATAGTGTTTCCGCTCAACGACACAACCTCCTAACTACGGTCGTCTTTGTAACAAACGTGCTCGTGTGCGGATTCTTGCAGCATAGCTCGACTCTCCCGGCAACATAACATACTTCTTGGATTTTATAGAGGCGCACCAATCGTGGTCAGAGATATTAACTGAATCAATTTCAAACTACTGATTATATTCAAGTAGTTGAACTGACATTCACACTAAGACCTTACGATAACTTGTATGGATAATTTGCGTATTAATAAAATCTTGATAAGAAAACTGAACAAACTTCGCTACTTGCGGTGATGCTGTGTTTGACATCTTTACGCGGTTTTGAAACGCTTACCAGATTTCACGGCGAAATATTAAGATACGTTTGGGTAAACATCCAGCAGAAAACTTTGTGCGCACCACTGCCAGGGTTTCCTTCCGCTCACCCGTCAATTACCACCTTATGAGCCATTACCAGTAAACCCATGACACATTTCATTATCGTACGTTTTATTTCGCATCGGTAACCAACCTTGATATTGTTTTTTGCCCGTACAATTAATTGATCATAATTTTTTATCTGGGGTTCAGCCATTAAGGATTTCCCCCCGACATTAAGATTCCTTACATTAAAAATAACCTAAGATCACTTTGCTTAGAGATTTTTACATGTTGAAGCAATTCCAGTTATAAGGAAGTTTCCGATTCCAGGTATTTGGTGACCTTGAACGAACTATCCATAAGAAACGATTGAAAGATACAGTCGTACTAGGCTCAACACTTGTAAAAGTATCCACAGTAAAAACTCCAAAGTTTCTTGGGAATTATTTTCGGTTTACTTCTAGTGATGGACTGATTCTACAGACTTTTGAGTGCTTATCCAAAGCTCCCACACATGCGGCAATCTAGTGTTGTGGCGATGTCTTCAAGTCCAACTGAACATTTTGATTTTGTCAGGTTGTGTACCTGATTTCAGAGTGAAAACAAACCTTACTACAACAGATTTGTATTTCTTTGCTGCGGGTGATTCGCTTCACATGCTCAGCAAGAAGATGCCAGGTGAAGTTTCACACTGCTTATTTTCCCCGCCATCCTAAAGAACCCTTCGAACTCACTTGCGAAGAACATCATAAACGACAGATTCAGTTGGCAAATGAGTGTAGTTGTCAAAATCTGTCCACCTGGGGTTCAGGTAAAACATAAGGTTGACAGCAACTCTGAGACTGTACGTATCTGATGAGCTCCAAGGATGGCGAAACCAATCGGGGACCGTCGAAGAGATTTCAGCAACCTTATAAGTAGTGTTTTACGTCTATACAAGGATAAGTTTACTCTAATGGCTTCCTGCAAAACCAATAGAAGGTAATTTTCTATCGTGTACTGAGCAAAGGTTTGGATATTGCACTTTTAAGTAACGTACAACATGTGACAACACATGCGGCTGGAATGGCGTGGCATGGGCAAAGGGATAATGGGGTTGGCTTCGCTGTGCTCAAAGTTCAAGGTAACCGAGAAGTGCGATTTTCTACAAAAATTTGACGATTTATGCACTACTTTGGTCATTACACTAACCTTCAAAAATGGGTCATGATACAACTTCACTGCCAGAAAACGCCAGGCCAACCGTCGGCCTGGAATTCTAGACCGAAAGATCTTCGTGCAGATCTGACTTCCAGTCCAAGTGTACTGGTAGTAAACCAGCAATCGATCCAAGATATCCAACACTTTCTCGCCAGCGCACATTGGGACGAGCCCCAGCAGGTTTCGGTCGCCGGTCAATGGATATTCATCCAAGGCGAGTTTGACCAAGTCCGATGGCCTGGCTCCCATTGGCCGTCCAGGCGAAGGTCGTGGTGGGGTTAGTAAAGATCCCTGTCTTGGAGGTAGCATAGGGATCGGGGAGTCATAAACCTGAGTAAGAAGAATGAAAAAATACATGTTATGGGCGTCCTTGACTCCAGCACCTGGTTGATTGGATTGGAAACATGGTCTCTGTGCGATGATTTGTTGCTTCAGCTGAACAGTTCTTATCGACGTGACCTTTATGGCGAAAAGTATTCATCTGGTAACTGAGCTAGGGGGATAACAGAAGTAAACAAAATTAATCTGAATCTCTCTTCTTTGCGATATTTTTTAGCCGAATACGTTGCCTCGTGTTTCTGCCGGGACGATACTCAAGATATCGCGATCACTCTGTGTAGCTGGATGGGCTTCCCGAATGCCTAACAACCTCGTCTCCTGTTCGAGTGCCAAACGTTGCGATAAACACTCATCTCTAAACTAGGTTGTGTTAACGCGAGGACCAGCTGACTCTCTCATTGTTTCCAGCCTCTAAATGAATGTGATGCTATGAAGTCGTTCCAGTTTCTATGCCATACGAAGTATGGGAATGTGCTAAGTTGATGTGGAAGTAATAAAACAGGGAATTGAGAACTCACCTACACGCTTCTGGTAGGTCTAGTTCCCGAATGTCCTTCAAGCTCATTTGCCCCTTGAACACATGTGGCGATAAAGCCACTAGAATGACGAATTCTGTAATGGACTGTTCAAGGTTTTCACCCAGTATCATTTGAAGACAGTTTCTTGCATGAAGGAAACTACTCACAAGGTTGCTGAAAACTCTTCGACAACCCACAACTGGTTTCGCCCTTCTTGGGGCTTATCAGGTAGGCGGAGTACACTGAGTTTCCGTCAACCTTATGTTCTACTTGAACCCGAATTGGACTGTCTTCGAGAAATACACTCATTTG